TCAGAGGATGGAGAAAAAAGCAGAGAATGAGGAGCAGATTAAAAGGAAGAGGGAAATTCTGCAGTGACCATGAGGATCCGTGAGGCCCTCTCACACTGAACTCTCATCTCAGGCAAATGTCGGGCCACGGCTGAGCTCATAGCTTCCAGAAAGTGAGAAAACCCCAAGGTCTGTTTTCTACATGTTGATGAAGCCCTGGCAGGTAGTCAGCAAGGTAGGAAGAAGCAGAGAAAGCTCTCAGGTGAGGTTAGGGGAGAATTTGCAGGAAACCTATTGACCTTTGTTAACTTTCCTTAGTGAGTCCAGGTAACTGTGGAGAGAATGTGGCTTAATCTTCCCAAAGCTAAAGATGAGCAAGGTAAACACTTGGAAGAGCAAGAATGAGAAAATCAACCTTCCATGTGCTGCTGAAGAGGCTGGTCATGGGTTCTGGCAATGCCAGGGCTGAGACTCCAGAAGTCTACTGATGGGTTGTGATTATGATGATGAAGAAGCGAGAGAACAAGGGACTCAGGTGTAGAAGAAAGGAAAGAAGATGATGGGAGGGGGACGTGCGGATAATAGAAGAAGGCAGATGAGGCTCATTCTTCCATGTCTTCTTGTCTTAGCCTGTTTTCTGGTGCTATAATGAAATGCCAGAGATTGGGTTACTTACGAAGAACAAAAACTTATTAGCTCATGGATCTGAAGTCCAAGAGTGCAACACCAGCATTTGGCAAGGAGAGGCTTTGTGGTGCATCGTGTGGTGAGGCAGAGCAAGCATCCCAGTCTGCATCTCACTATCACCAGGAGGAGTCTCCAGGAGAGATGAGGATCTAATTTCCCTGCCGATGGGCAGACTGTAGGACTGCTGACTTAGGCCAGGGAAAAGAATTGTCGGAAACATCAAGGAAAGGCAGAGAGCGAGTTATTGGGCAGAAGGCAGTGCACGCTCAGAGCGAAAGTGGGAGGACTAGAAGTGAGACGTTACGGTCTGGGGAGAGGTTCATGTGTTCCTCGGGTGTCCTCAAGACACCCAGGATGTGCGCTAGATTAGAACGCGAGTCGATTGCCTATGTGAAGGTTAGAGATGTGCGCCCGCCTAACAGGGCCATCTGCAGGAAGAAAAGTACAGGTTCAGTTTGCAGGTTTAAGGCACAAGGCTCCATTTACATCCTTATTGTATGTTTAAAACTCCCAGGAATTCTCCGAATGAGTTTCCTAGGAGAGGAAAGAAGACATTGTGAGGTGGACAATAGTGGTTTTTGTCTGAGGGGTACAGTTTGCACCAAAATGTAAGTTTATTTTATTTTATTTTTTTGGCGGAACCAGGGATTGAACTCAGGCCCTTGCTCTTGCCAGGCAAGCGCTTATTCTACTGAGCCATCTCCCCGGCCCCTTCAAAATGTAAGTTTAAAATTATGATTTTCCTTGTCTTCTTTTGACCTAGCCTACCCCATCTCTTCCTTGTCTTATAAAAGCCACTAATACCTTCACGGGGGCCTCGTCCAAATGACCTCTTCAAACCTAATCACCTCCCCAAGGCTCCACCTCCTAACACCACGACATACCAGTTGTAGATTAAGTTTCCCACCAGAGACGCATCTAAACCATGACACTATTAGGTTATTATAACCCTTTCTGGGTAAGGAGCTGATTTTCACTTACTTACCATAATGCATGTTTGATAACGCTTTTAACATCCCAAAGTGAACCATTTCATGGGATCTGTTATCTTGCTAGGGAGCTTGTTTTCTAAGGGATTGGGTTCTTAAGAGTGGGCTTTTGTCTTCTGGACTAAGTGACAAGAATGCCCAGGAAATCTCAGGAGAAGTTCTAGGTGCATAGAGTTATGGAATGGACAAAAAAACTGGATCTTTTAAAGTTCTGATTTCCTCATGCAAAAATGAGAATCACAAAACTGCCTCCCATTCCCAAGCAGGGATGAGGCATGCATACAAATACCAGAGAACTTAAATACCAGAGTTCTTCAAAATTGCCACAACAACTAGAGCGTGTTCATGTAGATTCTTTAGTGGGCAGCTGATTCTCCGTGGCTAATACTGTCCACAGCCATGGCAGGAAATGAGGCAGACAAATGAAGTCGCAAACACACATGGACACCTTGGCCACAGATTTCTCAGCATTTGAAATCTGAAATTGTCCTCACCTCTCCCTCTCCCACCCCTCATGTCCCCTTCTTCACCCCTCACATCTTCCTCTCCCACCTCCTCACCCCTCCCTCTCCTACCCCACCCTTCTGCCCCTCTCCATGTAGTGAATGCTCCTTCCCCCAGACGTCCATGACAGATTTATAGCCATTGCCCAGGGTTTGACTACTGCTTAGCAGGTCCTTACAAAACATTCTGTGGGGCTAACCAGGATTCCAGCTAAGGAAGATGGCATGAAGCTAATTAAAGCAGTCCAGAAGACTGTTTAAATGAAAGAGAAAATGTAAACATTGTCTTCACTGGATGGGGTAATTAGAAATTATAGTTATTTGGTTTTTGCCATACCATCTGTAGCTTGTCAAAATGTTGACATGAAGCTTAAGCCTACCACTAATCAAACAGGAAAAAGAAAAGAAAACAAACTAAACAGGAAAAAAAAAATAATCTAACCTGTAAGAAAGAAAACAAATACAAGATTCCTGCGTCTTCTAAATGAGAAAAATATTTGACTTACCCTGCTGAAATAATTTTGATCTGTTTTTAAATAAAAATTTGAGCTTCATATCACCTTAAAATACAAAATCTTAGTCTATTTTCAAAAATTCAATAGTAGTAAAATCAGACAGCTTAAAGTGAGAAAACAAACACATAAAGTGAAAAAATAGAGTTAAGGGTAATCAAGGTGTAAGACTAAAGTACTTCACCAAAAATAAGCCCAAGTTGAGCTTTTTCAGTATGCCTAGACCATCATGGCCTATATAAACAATCTGATGGTATTGATATCCAAGTCGTATTATAAAGTAGTAAATTATATTTTCTAAAATCTATACATTTAAATTATACATCAAAATTAGGTGTTTGATAAAGCAAATAATTCTTTCCATGATATGATACAATGCAAAATGCATTTATTTAGATAAAACATGCATTTCCTGGACTTTTTTCTATCTCCATCAATTTAGTATAAAGACTCTGCCTTATAAAATATAACTTACAAATGCAATATTTCTATTTGAAACCTAGAAGAGATTCTGGCACATACCATGTATTCAAGATTGGTTTTGGAAGAGAAAGAGGAAGAGAGAAAAATAAACTAGAGTATCTTGATGGATATCATTAATTTCAATATGGATGCAATATGTATATGACAATTAATGTAGATATTCTTACTTGTGATGTATTTCTAAGCTCCAACTGTCCAAGGCCTTAAACCAAGCATATGTTTCTTTATTTGTTTAAAATGCCATCTTTTGATGGGCAGAATATTGTGTGGCAAGACTCATGTGGGTTCACCTCGTAGAAAAGACATGGATCAGAATTTCATCAAAATCTTTCAGGATATTAAAACCAAGCAATGAAACAAGAACTGGTTTATGCTCAGTGGTAGAGTGTGTGCCTGTGGTATGCAGGAGACCTTGGGGACAATTCCCAACATCACAACAAAATGGAAAAAAAAAAAAAAAAAGAGGGGAACCAAAAAAGAACAGAAGTCCCAAGAAGCAACACAGTACAGCTGCACGGGATGGGGTGGGGCTCCCAGAGCCTTGTCCCTGCCTCCGGGACAGAGCAAGCAAGAACTGCAGCAGGACCAGAGGCACCGCTGAGTTATTCGTGGGGCATTTGCTGTTGAAACCTCCTCCTCTTCTCAATACACTCTCTGCCCAAGTCCTTTTCTAGGCAGCAGCAAGCAATGAAAAATGAGGAAGAGAAAGATAAGAAGTAAGTTTCAGCTGATGATGATAAAAATTTGCCACTAAAAATATAGCAAGCACTTGCATGGGACTTGTTTGATTCGCGCCAGACACTAAATCATTTAAGTTTCACAACACTCCTATGACTGTTTCTCTTTTGCAGACGTGGAAGCTTAAGCACAGAAAGGACAAGAGTATTTAAAAGTTGGAGCCATACGGCGGATTAAAGCGCGTGCAAGCTGGTGCAGGGGCGGGGTTCGATCCTTGGGCCTTCCATGTCGGCCCCACCCCCCGGGACATGCTGAAACACGATTGAGACTGGGCATGGTGGCGCACGCCTGTAATGCCAGCTCTTCGGAGGCTGTAAACAGGCGGATCACTACGAGTCCGATCTAGTAGTGAGACCCTGAACACCCTGTAGACCCTTCCCTAAAATAGACCCTCCCCCACAAAAAAAGAGCCATAGCTCAAATCCTGGTGTCTCACCGCAAAACCTGTCTGCTGCTGAAAACTACAGAGGGTTAGGGGTTAGATGACTTTCAAGTTCCCATCCACACATGAGTCCAAGCTTCTATACCTCATTATAATTAGGAGAGTCTCCATTTGGGTGCTGAGCTCTGAGCAAGCATGATTCTGGTTACAGTAGAAAAGCTCAATGAGTACCTGGCATAGGAAAGAATGTGCCAATGTGCGACAGAACTTTCTAGAACAAATTAGATTCTTAAAATGCAAAATCCCAATTAAATTGGCTTTTAAATATTCTATATTTTTCCTCAGCGAAGCCTAGAAAGTTCATACCAATAAGAAAAAGACATTTCAACAGAATTTCATTGCAACATTAATTTATGGGTCACTCAGCTTTCTAGAAAAGACAAAGGGTCATACCATGTAGATTTGTTACTTATCCCTAAACTACAGTGTCCTCAGCGTATCAGAAGGTCTTACAGAGAAAAAAAAAAAAAAAAGAAGAGGCCCAGACAGGAAATGAACTGCGACAACATCACCTCACAGCAACCGGAAGGAAAACCTCACACAGACATACACCACTCACATCCTACGTGTGCGGTTGCCTGTAGAGAAATGCTTACAGCTGCCTGGAGAAGCAACCTCAGCTGCTGCAGCGAGACGGAAGCATAGCTATGCGCAAGGACTGGCTGTCACGCCCTGCATGCCCACCCAGAGAGAGGCCACGCAGGCTAGGCACACGACATGGCCATCCGCAGTGGTTCTGCCTTTGGGTGAGTTCTCAGCCACTTGCTGTGGCCTGCAATGGGGGCCGGGGTGGCATCACTCAGACCTTTACTTCCTGACTTGGTGTCAAACATTTGGTGATCTTTCCCACTGTTAACACCCTTCTGCTAGGACTGAGAGGGTTCCACACACCCAGAGGCAGTAATGTGGGACTCCAGGTCTCCTTGGAACGCACCTACACTCACATGCTGGTTTTATGTAACTTAAAAATCATTTGATTTCTACTTTTTCTGCCTTCTGGGTTAGTGCTTCCTGGTTTGTAAGCACAAGGCTCCTCCTCTCTTCCTGCCGTCCACACAGACCTTACCTGGGAGGGGCTAAGCTGTTAAATTTCTTAAATCAATTTAGTACTTTAAAGTGTGGATTTGAGTCATTTACATTGATATCATTTGCAGCTCTCTGGGGATGACTTGGAGGGGACAAGAAGCAGTGGCTGAGAATTGGGCCCAGTGAGTAGAGCTCAGCTCTGCAGAGACCTGCTCATTAGCATGATTTCAAAGAGACTTGGGGAGAACTGTTTTGTGTCTTACCTGTCTGCACCGCGCAACTCTGAGAGCTCCACACTTACTTTTCTCCATATTTATTCACTCATTTTTCTCACTCCTTTGCTCACCTCTCTTGCACAAAGTGTTTGATGCAACCCCCCCCCCACACACACACACACTTTTTGCCAAAATTGTTGCGAAATGAAGGACACAGACAGTGACGGGAAAGTCAAAGCTGTTCGGAAAGGGGTCTGTGTAGCTCAAGGCTGTGTGGAGAAAGGAGCGCAGTCTTCTCCCTGCGTTCCAAGGAAAGCGTGAAGGCCGCTCTACTCTGTTTAGCTCCTTCTCAGAGAGTCCCTCCTTCCCCTCCGAGATGGTTTCCCACCCAGCACTGAGTGTGAAATGCAATTGCCCTTGACAGGATTCTGGGATCCAGCCAGATGGTTTTCCTCCTCGTTTCTGTTTCTCTCAAGCTTGATTTTCCAGGACATTCCGATTCTAGGAAGTGGGAAGAGTAGAGTGATGGCAAGAGAAAATATGAAGTCAGTTTCCCATTAGAGCTCCACAATCTCTTATTAGTGGTAATTTAACAATGATCTAGAAAGTACTCACCTTCTAGCAGTCACTGTGTAAGTCAAAATTAATAGGAGAGGGACCAAACAAACTGACATTGCTGTGAGCCCCAAAAGCTTACAGTCCAGGAGAAAAGAAGACATTAATATAGAGGAGGAAAGTTGCTTTCTCTCACTTTCTAGATTGTTTGGCTGGCCAGTCTCTGTATTAAATGACATAGGACAGATTAACCAGAAAAAATAAAGTTTAACAACATGGGTTTTAAAGGGGGCCAATGATTGTGGCTGCTGTACCATTCTGGACTGCACGAAGAAATGGGGTTGGCTCCTGCAGGCAGTGGTGAAGGCAGACTATGGAGAGGTGCAGGGAAAAGCCTGGTAATGACTAGATGGGAAGAGGAGCCCAGGCGAGGTTTTGTTACAAGGCTCTAAGTGGGTGTCTTCTGTTGACCAGAGTCTATTAATGTAGCCATCCTTCTCCTCTTGCAGAAAGGCACACACCCTTCCCCATGGAGATTTCCTTCCCAGATGCAAATTTCTCAAGCAACCTTTGGAATGTGTGTAGTTTTTCCAAAATAGTCAACTCAAAATGAGTTGCATTAGAGGAATGTTTTAGGATAGTATATTTTTCCATCATTCATATTTTTGGGTATTATGTCCTGAACCCCATTGATAATTACACAGCTATGATGAAGACCAGAGTCACACTGGTTCCTTAGGCAGATGGAGATGGGAACTGAAAGAGGTGGAGGGACTGGGGGGACACCCAGACCAAACCTGGTGGGGGAGATCACCTGGAAGACTCAGGCCAGCATGGCCAAAGAGAAGAGAGGAGTGACTCAAGATGAGCCTAGGAAGAGCAAATGTGCAGCTGGGATTACATGTGCTGCCGTATATTCTCCTAGTGGAGAAGATGATGGTGCTGTGACCTGATCTGCCTTTTCAACAAATTCTCTTTACTATGGTATGAAGAATTGAGTGGGGAAACCACATCTATAGGCAAAGAGACCAGAATTAGGCTAATGTAGCAGCTAAGCAAGTGTGTCTACACAAATATAGAGCAGATGGTGGCACTGGAAACAGAAGTGAACAAATTAAAGGATCCAGTAGGGGGAAAGTCAAGAGGACCTAGAGCAGACAGCAAAGGAAAGTGAAGGGAGGTCAAAGATGATCCCCCTTGTGCTGGCTGGGGGCACAGAGGGATGGTGGTGCTTCCTGCACATCACAGATGAGTCCAGCTCTGAAATCAATGGTTCAGAGAGTCTAGCAGATGTCAGTCAGGCTGTTGATGTGTTGGAATATAGTTTAGAGCAGAGGTCTGGGAATCCATGTCATGGTAATCAAAGCCATAGGGATATGTGAGATGCTTTGAGACAGAGAATCAAATGGGAAAGGGGGAAGCAATCTAGGATTGAACCTCAAGCAATGCCACCATTTAAATAAAAGTAGAAGAAAGGACCAGGGATATAGCTAAAAGTGTAAGTGCCTACATAGCAAGCACAAGGTCCCAAATTTGATCCCCAGTAACACCACAAAAAAAAAGTAGAGTAAATGAGCTACCAAGAACTCTAAGGTTTTTCAAAAATTTAAGCACACAATTGCTGCATGACCCGGTAATTCTAGTCTTAGTAATACAATCAGCCCTCTGTGTCCATGGGTACACTCCTGCTGTTTCAACCTCCTATGGATCAAAATACACATGATTGAGGATCACATCCATACTGAACACATACACATCTTTTCTTCTCATTGTTTCCTAAACAATACAATAAAACAACTATTCACACAACACTTTCATAGAAATGGTTTCAGGAATATGGGAGCATGTCTGAGTTTTTGTTGCAAATGCCACACTATGCTGTATAAGGGACTTGATCACCCATGGATTTGACTGCTAGGATGCTAATGGAGTACCTACAGGGATTGAAAACAGAGATGCAAGTGGGCAAACAAGTTATGAAGGTCCATATATTAAACTATTGCTCTGTTATTAAAACACGCTATTTGATAGATGCACTGGGAAAACGCTATGCTAAGGGCAAGAAGCCAGTCATAAAAGTTCATGTAATCCATCAGTTCCCAACCATTTTAGCACCAGGGACCAGATTCCTAGAACATAATTTTTCCACAGATGGTGAGAGGATGGTTTGAGGATGATTCAAACAATTATATTTATTGTACTCTTTATATCTATTATTAGTACAAATAAAAAAATAATTATGTAATTCACCATAATGCAGGATCAGTGTGAGCTCTGAGCTTGTTTTCCTACAAATAGATGGCCCCATCTTGGGGTGATGAGAGATAGTGACCCTAGAAGTGTGTTGCTTATGTGCCCTCCCTCCAAAATCTCGTTTTGGTTGCTGACACTGCATAAAACCCCAAACATAGGTTGCTAGAAATGGAAGAAGGCTTTTAAGTGCTTTTAAGCTCAAGATATTCTGCCTTGACTTTAATCTAGAATTTGTGAAGATTTGAAGTTGCCTCCAATTTCCTGTTAAGGCTGTCATCATTTGCAATCTCAAGAAGTTGATCCTCTTCTAGCATGGACAAAATCGAATCACCTGGCTTGTTCACAAATGGCTCGCAGATCCATTCCTTCCCAGTCCAAGGGTCCTTTGTGGTGTGGGGAAGTACTGCGCTAACTCTCTTGAAAGCTGAGTAAAAAAAGGCCCTGCCCACTTATCTTTCAAAATCTGCTAGTGTTTGCAGCATATCAACATGCCTAATGTTCACTTGTCACTCCTTTAACTTCAGTTTAGCTTCACATGTAGCCACTTTATCTGTCCACTTGAAACACATTTATTGTTTTTTCCTGAAATGACAGATTTAGTTCATCAAGTAGGTTGAATATGTCACACAAGTAAAGTTTGTGACCCATTCTGTGTCACTGAAATGTGCTGCCAGTGGTGACTGTTTTTCTAAAAGAAAGCTCTGAAGTGGGTCTTATAACTCAAAACTGACCAGTGATCTGTGAGAAAGTGAGAATGTCATCTTATGTCTGTGTAGTAGAGTTAATGAGAACTCGGGGCCCATCTCCTCACAGATCTGTGCAAATAGACAGGAGTTCAGGCATATTCCATAATGCAGTTGATAATTTTAATCATACCCTGCAAAATGCCAAGTCAGGGTACATTTTGGGGCTAGCTGGCACGTATCTGTGGATGGCATAGTACACATCATCACATTTCTAAGCAAGCCCCTTGACCTGAATAATGAAACTAGAACAACATCCCCTCACGGCAGCTCCTCTTCCATGTGTCTACTGACACAAAATTCAGTTTTGCTGGTATGTAGGTATTCAAAGACTTAAATAATTCTGCAGGTATGGTACTGGGTGGCAACAAGAATGTGTATAGCATAGCCAATGCACAGCCACCTGAAAAATACACCACACAAAAGCAATCGCTATTGTTTTGTTAGCAACATGGGTAGCCTTCTCCACCTAGATTGTGTACCAGGTGACTCAGTAATCTGTCTAACAACTGTGCCTCAGTATTCTCTCCATTCCATCATGCATCTAGTTATGGTACTAGTCAAAAAGGACACCCAGGCACCTTTGAAAAGTTCATGACAAATGTCCTTAACATCAGACAGGAGCAACTCTTCCACAGCAAAAGACTTCTTAGCTTTAGCAATGTGGTTTGCCAACAAGAATGATGGTCTTGAGCCAACACATTTGAGAAAATGGTACCCTTTAATAATTGCTTCTGTTCTGTGTGTTCACGTTTCTTTTTCTCTTTTGAATGCTTTTAATGCAGGGTGCTTGGTCTGAATGTGGTGAGGTTTGAAGGTTTTAGAGCTTTATTGGACAGCCAGTTGTCCATATTACACAACGTGGGCTTAGAGAATGTGAAGCACCTGTTGCAATGAACCCTAATTTAAGTAGGACTGAAGATAGCTTTTCAATGCAGCTTTCTTATTGGTAGC